CTACGCAAGTATGTCATGCATGCAGATGTGCGAAGTATTTAGAAATGGCGCAGTTCCAGGTTTATGTGGTAATTCTGTTTTCATAATTAATTTCTGTAAAACCCTCCACGATCCTCTCATGTTCCAACCCCACCATCACCCTTCCACCATAAAACACCACTCTTCCCCAATTAATGGGGTGCAATAAAATGTACATTTCATTATTTGATTTAGACATAGTGTAGGTGGTACTGGACAACAATGTACATGTTAAGTCAAATCAAGTGGTCTATATTGTCATATAACTTATATACGTTAGAACGAAATGTCAGTTGAATTCTTCAGGCCACTTAGCGCATTAAACAGGACTACATGCTGTGCAGATATATGCAGATATATACACCAGATAATAAATGCACAGAACAATAAATACCCAAGACAATAAATACTGGAGAAGAAAGCAATATATAAAACTGGGCATTGTATATATATATTTATATATATATATATATATATATATATATATATGTGCACATAGATTGGCATCAAGCAGCATGTTACTGATGAAGAAAATAGTGCAAACATAACATTGTCACTATGAACTGTACAGTAAGGTTGAGGTCTCATAGTGCAGGTGTGCAGTGATGGTAAAGTGGTGTGTGATCAGTCTATGGTGGATGTTGGAGAGGGTTTAGATTAGATGCAGGTGAATGTTGGGGGGGGCGGCAACAGTGTGTTCAGTAATCTGAGCGCCTCTGGGAAGAAGCTCTTGCGGAGTCTGGTCTACTGGGTTACATAACAGCGTTTGCCCTCCAAATCCTGAAAATAACTGATAATTAGGCTACACTATTACGTGCACTGGGTTTCACATGAAATTGCAATCTGATATATGTTTTAATAGGGTAACATGTTACTAGTGACAGTGGCAGTGATTCACCCAGTGGTTCTGCTTTTGAACTCATGACTCATACATAAATCCAGTATTATGCAATGTGCAGTTAGCCTGTGCTTTTGCTTTCTGCCTTTACTTGATGCCATCTACAGTGAGACAGATGTTAAATACATAGAGACAAACATGAGCAAATGAAGAGTGTCATTCCAAAATGCTGGGTGTCTATTTGTAACAATTCTGGATGTAGAGTTTTTGAAAAGAATAAAGTAATAAAATACAAAAAAATATAAAATGTAATAGAAAAAAATATTTTTATTCCTCTAATAAAGATGGGATTTATCGCAATATAGCACCGATATTTCTTGTATGGTTAGTCCACTCCTAGAAATGTATATCATAAAAAAAGATAATTCACAAAAGTGGTTTATAACGTTTTCAGAACAAAACCCTTCCTATATGTATGCACATATGTATCTGTTTTTACTTCATGTATTTACTTGATTGTACTTATAGTATTTATTTAATCTAGTACAGTCAGAACAGCATGTTAGACAGAGCAATACCCAGAGTAATACACTGTATATAAACCTTTAAACCCGTTTATGTTTGTTATAAAGGGAATTAACATTATATCTCATTCATTCTTATGTAAATATTTGTAGAAAGCAAAATCATTTTAGTGATCAAACATACAGGCCTTTGTGTCAAACACTATGTTGTACATAGTCAAACTCATAAATATATTACAGTGCATATATTGGTTGCTTCATTCAAGACTAGAAGCTACAAGGCTGATTTAGCTAATAATTAAAGGAAGCTTATATTAGCATAATTAGCATTGTGCAGCAGTAGTAGCTGTAATCCCAGAACTTCCATTTTGATAGATAAAAGTATGTCATGCAGTTTCAGAGGCCACATAACAAAGTCTGTTTCAGGTTACTTAACAACTTGATGTGGTTTTGTGGCAATTGTCTGGTGATTTAGGCCATTAGTGCAGTATCTATGATGCTAAGCTTCAGCTATTAGCCCATTAGCTCTAGTAGAAGTAGATATGCAAACGTGTCTTGGGTAATTGACTACATTATTGCAAGGAATTGTGCAAATTGGAATTTTCTTTTATCCTTGTGTCTCTGTGAGACTTGTTGTATGTGTGTGCTATATTTTCTTGTTTTCAGAATGCCACAATGCTTGGAAGATGGCCTATTCTTGGACCAAGCCATTGTAACACAGAGAAGAGCTGGTTACCACTGGCCTACACGCCTCTTGACCTTCTGAAGAACCGCTGAGAAACTGCTGAAGATAATAAAAGACCATCGGAGGCCTCGGAACTGGCTGAGAGTAACCGTTGCAGATATCACTGTGATGCACGTAAGAGAACCATGAGGAAATCTTTTTTGTCAACTAAATTTAACAAATGATAATAATGTAATCTTGGAAATAATGTCAAACTCCTCACATTTTATCCCCTTGTTGTGATGTCAGCACTCAAACTTTTCAGCTGTTTAAACCACAAATGGACCAAAAGAGTTTCAATATGTTCTTTTAACAATAGTTTTGTCAAATCATTATTTAAGCAAAGAGTGCTCTTTATACAAAGGAAGACACTTTGAAGAACATGAAACTCAGTGTTGAAGCTAAAAATACCCAAAGTCAGGGCTACACAATCCTGATCCTGGAGATCTGAGTGTTAGTTTAGCTCCAACGCTAATCTAACACACCTGATCCAGGTAATGAAGGCCTTCAGAGGCGTCTGAATATTTGAGCTGGGTGTCTTGAATCTGAACTCTCTAGGGTGGTAGACTTCCAGGACCAGGATTGGACACCCCTGCCTTAAGTGTTAGCATATAGCTGTTCTATGTTAGCAAAACTTACCAGATTCAGAGTTGTTTACAGTCGTCGTGATGGGAACCAGACATGTGAAGCATTTAATGTCTCTAGAAAGCTTTTATATTAAATGATTGTGAATACACTGCCTGATGCCTGCTGCACTGTTTTACACTAGTTTTAAGAGAAGATTAAGGAAAACATATGTTTCCTTAATGCATTCATAGCGGAGGGGTACATGCAGGTCATTGTAAGGCAAAATTGTCCCTTAAGTAAACTTGTTTTTTCATATTACCATCATCATCATTATATAATAAAAACTTGTGCAGGCTCACTGTTCATTTTGAGTTGTAAATAAAATGGCTATATTGGTGTTGTAGACACCACAACGTCTGGTTCCTATCACCACCACTGTAAAGAAATCTGGGTCAGTAAGTTTCTCTACAATGCATAATTTCATATCAAACCACTCTGAATGAGTTTGTTTACATCTAGATTGAATTATGCAGAAATTTAAAAAAATGGGTGGAATTCTCCTTTAATTACTTTTATTTGATGGGGATAGTAACCAACATTCTCACTGATTTTCTTTACTATTTTTATTAGTCACACTTTGTGTTTGAAATGTTGTTTGCAGCTACATTTCTAATATTTCACCTAATGCAGGGACTTTTTTGTTTTATTTTTTGGGGTTCAAGTAATTTAGCTCAACTTTACTGTAGGAAAATATTTGTTTACCTTTATGTTCCAATTTTTTTTCAAAGATCTACTACAAGTCTGGTATAATTCTGGCACTAGGCTCCCCCTGCTGGCTAATTGTGGTCACTGCATGAAGAGCAGAACTCTAGTTTGCAGCCCACAGATTGTAATGCAGTTTTTATTTACAATTTAAATAATCATAATTACCATTTAAATAATATACAATCCAGTGGCTAGTATGTTTCCAACACTCTGGGCTTCGAATTTCACAACAGCCAACTGTCAATGATCTGCGATCCGTCTTCTGATTCTTTTATAGAACCTACTATGAACTGTTTCAGACTTTATCCCACACTCAAAAGCCTGACTCTGAGAGATTAGGGGGATCATGATGACATATTCAACCTCATTCTTTGGTAGAAATTCTTTGGCAAAGCCAAACAGAGTCAGAGTTTGGGGCACAGTTAACTGGACACGAATGAGACTGACCCTAGTGACAGTACTGGGGTTTTATGAAGGCTTTAAAAGGGGGGTTCCGAAGTAAAACTAGTGTTTATTATGTTATTACTCATGTTATGTAGTATTCTGTGGTGCAGCAGTGCATCCTTCAGCATCATTGGTTTGACAGAATTCACTTTTTTTGTTGTTCGTCACTCAGTGCTGCCTTACTACAATACCCAGCATGCATTACACAAACACGTCACACAACCACTGGGAATGCCACTTGGTAGTAAAAAAAAATCCTGAGTGATTTCTAACAGCTCATCCTCAAGCATCCACATCAAAGCACTTCCTCACACCTTCAAGATACATCATCAGAAGGGCCTTTTTTCTAATCTTTAAACTGGAAAATCACACACTAGAGCAACTCTCTACTGCGGCGCCACTTTTGGAGGTGAGCAGACATATTTACATCAGATACATTAATGGTTGAATTTCTAATTTTGGCCAAAGTATCCCTATAAAAGGATTAAATGGCAGTTACCACCCAAGCCCCCCCCCTCCCCCCCGCCCTCATTTATATCTCTCTGAAAACTATTTCTCCTCCTCATTTTCACCCAATTTGCATAGATCAAACACCTAGTTCATTACCTTGAGCAGAAGAAGGAACTGGAGAGCAAACTGAGATTTAACCAGGCCATGATTTGAAGTGTCCAAACAAGGGACCATTTGTCTCTTTGACAAGGCAAAAGCAAAGAAAGGAACACTTAAGCCAAATGTGTGGGAATTAAAAATGAATAAACAATTTTGAAGACCCATTGGCAGGAGCTCACTTGCATAATACTTACTGATTTCCTCTGGCTTTCATTCATTATTAGCATGTTTGAGTGATGTGTCCATTACAGCTGAGAGACTAGGCTATAGCCAATGTGCAGTAAGGCCCAGCATCAAAGGGGGCCTGTATGCACTTTCATATGCATTTTTTTTCTTAGGACCTTTATAATGGCCATGCTGAGTTTCTCCATAGCACCACTCGCAATGATGCATGTAAATGGCCCATTAAGCACAGATCTCACCAAACCAATCAATGACCATTTTAAATATAACATCACATAACAATTACACGAAAGTGTAAAGCTTCGAACAGCCGAATCACTGTGTCGATTCACCAGCTGTTTCGATACACTTTCGAGTCATTGTTTCAAGCTGTTGCCCATTCACTACTTTGTAGTTTGGATGACAGCTCTGCGAGTGAGCGCTTCGTGGAAATTTGTTCATTTTTAGCTTCAGTCCGAAACTCTAGGAGACCTTTCTGTTAAACGGGCCACCCTGCTGAACGGCTGAAATCCTCCTGGCGAGTCTAATTTGGAGGCCGAGGCAGCAGCGGGTTAGCCGGGCAGAAGAAGCCGCGTTGGAGGGCTCCACTGCTGGGGGAGCCTGACACTGATGCTCGGTTAGCGCAACATTTTGAGAGGCAGGTTTAAAAACATATATCGGAGACCATGTCACACACAGGACCACCTCCTCGATGGCTACACTGCCCTAGAAGAGGACAACCTGTGGCTGGTAAGCGCCTGGAAAACGCTCACTTCTGCGAAACGTTTGAGTTAGCTTAGCTACCTAGCGAATTAGTTTAGCTCGTTAGCTAACCTGAGTAGCCTCGCTTTAACTGACTAGCAATTAATTTAACGCATTTTGAGCGCCAGTTTAAAGTTTCGAAGCAGATTTTCATTTCAGCCAGTACTTTTTTCTAAATTATTTTTAGAAGTGGTTTTAAATAAATTAACTTAGCAAGCTGGGGTTAGCTTAGCTGCTAACCTCACTGCTGTTTCAAGCTAATTCGCTAAATAACGTTAACGTTGGCTGTTTTTATGCTGTAACCGTAGCTATACGGCGTCAAAGCCAGCAGCAGTGACTGTCATATTAACATGTTCTTAAAGTTTAGTGTCTGTCATCTCAGTCGTGACACTGAAAAGAGAAAACGCAGTTTAGTACGAATGTGAAAAGTCGTGTCTGCTGAAGTAGACGGGATTAGTGCGTATGTGCACCAGTTAAAGGGGAACTCCACCAGTTTTTCAAAATTTCTACATAAATAAATGGCTGAGATGTAAACAAAGTCCTTCAGAGTGGTTTAATGTGGCATGTTTCGTTCTAGAGACACTTACCGAGTCAGAATTGTTCACAGTGGTGGTGACAGGAACCAAAACTCTGAAGAGTTTAATGTGTCTTTGCCTCACAGAAAGTTATTACATGAAGTGGTAATGAATACGCCGTCTGATGCCTGAGACACTGTTTTACGACAGTTTTGTGATGAAGTTTTGCCCTAAAACGCCTTGTTCATCTTTTAGGGTGGAGGGATACATGCAGGGCGCTGTAAGGCATAATAGTCCTTCCCCCACAAAAACCTATTTTTTAGATTTTCCACTATTTTGCCACCATCGACATTACATTTGAAAACTCAACACACATGGAGGTTCAGTGGTGGATTTGGATAGTAAATAATATGGCTATGTTTGTGTTGTATACATCATGACCCCCGGTTCCTATCACCACCACTGTAAAGAAATCTGAGACCGTAACGTTCTTTACAACGGACCATTTTACATTGAACCTCTCTGGATGACTTTGTTTACTTCTCAGCCATGGAATTATGCAAAAAATACTATGCAAAATCGGTGGGAATTCCCCTTTAAGCCTCACCAACACTTAGGTACTTTAATGACCGTTGTGCCCTGATCAGTGGTGCGTAGAGTAGCCTAAAACTGTACTTAAGCGAAAGAGTTGTTACTTAAGTAAAATAATGACTCGAACTGAAGCTACAAACTCCATGAGTACTGAGTTCTTAATAAAAGTGCAGTGCTTAGTACGTTGAGCATTTATCAGCAGGGAACAGGAACTGAAGTTTGTTAGGTATCATTCCTTCTGTTCTTTATGGAGAGGAATTTGTGCCAAATTGAAAAGCAGTTATTGCAGTGGACAAACGGGAAATGCAGTGCACACATGGCATTAATTTTCTGTAGGTAACATGCAGAATATGTGCCAACATGAAAAGCAAAACCCCTACCCCAATGTTTTCACATTGCTTGAAATTGCTTTATTTGTACTTCAGATGTATTTGCCACAGTGAAATGCAGTGCACACACAAGATTGCATTTAAACAGCAACATCTACAAAAAATGTACAAAATGAAAAGTAAAAGCAGTAGCTGTGTCTGCATTTCGTTAATTCTTACATATTTGCAGCCCTATAGAAATAACTATTACATTTCTCTGTGGTGCTAATCCAGACGTAGTTCCAGTTACTTAAGCAATAGAACATGAGAGGGAGTGTGTTATCTTGAAATAACAGCATGATTAGAACGCTACTCAACCAATCAGCATGCGTGGCTGGAACTAACTGTTGTATAATACATTTTAGAAAATGTACATGCATCTGCATTGGTATCTATGTTGAGAGATACGTACATGAAGTCCCATATTAGTGCATCCTTGAAATAAAAAAAAGAGGAACCTCATTTTGAATAAATAAGATTCTGTTGAGGAAACCGCAGAGTACTTTCTTCACAAATACACATGATAAGAAGTAAAGTACTTTGATTCAATGAAATTGTTACTTAAGTAAAGTAACTGGACCCCCTCACACTTGGCATTAACGTGCGTCTTGGGTGATTTGATCATGAATGGACAGCGCTATGTACAGGTAAACAGTGTGTCTCAGGCATGCCTTGTGAAATGGTCACTTAAATCACCTTTACTGACCTGAGGTTGTCAGTGATGCTTGTGACCACATAACATTTGTAGTGTGAATGCTAAAGTGTCTCACTGTGTTCCTGAAAGCAGCGAAAGGCTGTCTAATCAAATGCATCATCACAGAGGAGATGAAAACAGCTGCATAGTTTCTTTCTTCGTCTCCTTTCCTGTTTGTTTATGACAGGGCTGCTAGAAGTGCAGCCACAGTTGATCCGTTTTTGATTCGGCCCACCAGGAAGTTGCCCTAAGCCCATCCCTAATGGGAGAGTAAGCGTGTTTATACTCTATATGTACTATTTAAATACTTACTTACAGTAAATTCCTACAATAAATTCTAAGTTATTTGCAGTCTTTTATTGTCAAAGATAAGTGTAATGTTGAATCCATAACAAGTTGCTGTCCACTTCTGGTCCTAATTGTGTTGTTCATTACCTACGATTATAAGCACCAATTAAGACTGTGTTATTAACTTTATTCTCTTTTCTATAACTCATTTATTATGCAGGTAAATTCCTACCAATGAAAACCATGTTGGGTCCCAGATATGATGACTTGGTTCCAGAGGAAAACAGATTCCACCCGAGTATGCTGTCCAACTATCTTAAAAGTCTGAAGGTACTGTTCGAATGTTTCATTAAGCTGCCCTGGATTTTAGTGTCTGCTAAACGAATAAATGTAAATGTATGTTGGAATGTTTGTTGTAGTTTGCATGCGCTTGTTACAGTGTTTTGTTCTGGAGTTGTTTACACATCTGTATTGGTCTCAGCTGATTTTTAGCCTGTTACATTGCTATGAATGAGATCATGTTTAAACGGTGTAGTAACGGTTCCTCTCTTTGTTCTCAGGTCAAGATGGGCTTGCTTGTTGACCTAACAAACACAACCCGCTTTTATGACCGAACAGAGATCGAGAAAGAAGGGGTAAAATACGTAAAGCTTCAGTGCAAAGGGTACGCCTCATTCATCCATTACAAATAATCAGTTTAAATGATGTTTCCTGTGTTTTGCTGTATAATTGTGGCTTTTTGTCCCTTTGAATGGGAGCAATGTTTTGTTGTTATACAGGGTAATATAGTTTTCTCCCTATACAGCCATGGGGAATGTCCCACTGCAGAGACGACAGAGATGTTCATCAGATTATGTGAGCACTTCATGCAGAAGAATCCCACTGAGCTCATAGGTAAGTTTAAGATCTTCTTAAAGTTTGATAATATGTTATTTGCTTTTCCCTCAGCACCTCATTCTCTTTAAATACTGAAACTTGTTAATATAGGGGTGGGCGATATAGCAAAAATAAAATTCATGATACTTCAAGACATGTTCATGACATGTATCACAGTATTTAGCTTTTTCATACGGTTTGATTAATTGGTACGGACAAAAAAGCACCAGCAGTGTCAAATAAAAAAACTATCAAAAACTGTGAATAGGATGATTTTAACTGCACATACTGCTCTGCACTAAATCCAGACTAGTTTTGCATTCTTTGAAATAAAACACGCAGCTGGTCAGCGTTCTTTAAATGTTGATGAGATCCACAATATGGTCAGGAAAGCACATTGTGACGTAGTGCGAAACATCATTAAATAAGTTAACTTATCCTCTGCAGGGGACGATCTTAAGGATATTGATATTGATATTTATTTGCTGAGTTACACATATTGAAAAGCAAATATAACATAAAATATACGTGTTTCGTAACTTTTTTCACAGGCCACATTTTGTGTTTATTTTTTTGTTAAATTCAGCAAATACACAGTATTTGTGCCTAAAAATATGCAGAAGTGTGTTCTCTGTAGAGGATGTGTTAACTCATGGGTGCCCAAACTTTTGCATACATCTGAACATTTCCTTCTTTATTCTCTAAGTTTTCTTACTGAATAAAACAAAACCTTTTTTAGTTAGAATAGTACCACATAATTTATGTACATTTAGAATTAACTTTGTTCTGTGGTTGTATTTTTAATATGTACTTTGTTTTAAATAAACTACATATGTAATTATAATGAAGTACATATTTAAAGTACAAACACAAAGCAGTTTGTATTATGTGGTGGTGCCTTGCTGTGCACGACTGACAAGACAGTAGTGGCAGCAGAGTAGGCTGTTTGTATGTTTGCGGTTGTTAACATTTTTATGGAAGGGTAATATTCTCCCAAAAGATCTTAGATAGATTTTAGGGGCGTTTTGAGTTCATTCATTGGATCCTTTTCCACACCATCTGGGTGATACGCTAGCTTGATGAAAAGTGTGCCAAGTCTGAACCAGCGCAATACAGTTTCTCATCTAGAATACCAATGAGAATATTTTACAATAGAAACAATGACTACAGTAGAGACAATAGACAACAGTATATGCTGATGGCACTGTTGCAGTTTGGAATTAAGGCAACATATGGGTGCTGTGTTTAAAGTTTGTAGCTTGCTGAGACCTTGGATCCTGTTTTTGAGATATGCTACGTTCTAGTGTTATAATAAACTGTGAAATACCAATTATGGTAAATTATGGAGAGAAAAGCAATCATTACAGTGGATAAATGTTAAATACATTGCACACATGAGATTATTTTCCATAGTGACATGCAGAATACATGTCAGAAAAAAAAAACCAAAACCTCTGTTACATTGTTTTCATGTCGCTTGATCTCTTTACTTAAAAACAATACATGAAGATTTGCATTTAAAAACTGAATTCATATCAGAATTCAATACAATCCACCTTGAAACATAATGAAGGCATGGCTATATTGCTGGATTTGCCTCATTGAAATGCAATCATAATAGTGACTGAAAGCAGCGAAATATAGCGCACACATGACATTACTTTTCCATAGTGTCATGCGGAATACGTGCCAAAATGACAGACATAGTTTTACCCCTGGATACCCCTCCAAAACTATGTGGGTATCCGCATAGTTTTGGTCATATAAGCTAAAGAAAGCAAACACACAGCAGGGTGCCTCTGTATGCAGAGACGCGTTTCAGCAGGTAAACTGGATACTCTTAAATCATTGCTGGTTTTAAATATGACATTGAATTCAGGTGTTTAAAGTGTTTAAGCCATTGCTAACAGGTGTATAACATCACACAAATAGTCATGCAATCTCCATAGACAAACACTGGCAGTAGAATTGGTCATGCTGAAGAGCTCAGTTACTTTAAACTTGGCACTATCATAGGATGCCACCTTTGCAACAAGTCAACCGTATGTGCTAAGCGGGTAGACCATGCAAACCCAAACAACGGAGCCCCTGGGTGCTCAAGTGCATAGCATGTAAAGATCCCTTATCCTGTTTCGTTTCCCATTTAAAAATTTGTGACCCCAACCACACATGCCAGTATTGGCGCGAGTAACCTCGTGCACAAAGATGCAACAAAAACAAAAAAAATTCTTTATAGTGTAGTGTGTGGAAGATTCTATGCTGGCAAATTGCTCTGAAATAACCTTTACATCAATATTAATAACCTTTACACATTAATAACCTTTACAAGAACATACCTAACAAGACAGTGATAACTGTGTCTATTATTGTCACTGCTATGTCTGAATGAATGAAGTAACTTTTACTAACTCTAATTAAGGCATATGTACTCCTTGTTAGTTTGCGACCTTCTCTGATTTAACGCTTAGCGATTAGCATTCAGTTTACAAATTTGCTTTTCATGTTGTAGTGCTGTTAAAGGGGATTTCCACTGATTTTTCAAAATTTCTGCATATCTTTGAGGTTCATATGTAGAAACAGTCATTCAGAAATGCTCAGTTCTAGAGAAACTTGCCAAATCAGAATTCACAATGGTTGTGAATCAGACGTCCAAAGAGTTGAGTGCCTCAAAAAGACATGTGTAAGTTTGCTGGTCATTTTGGATAGTAAATAAAATGACTATGGTTGTGTTATAGACCCGTGGTTCCTAACACCACCGCTGTTAAAAAAATCGCACTTAATAAGCTTCTCTATTTGGTAAACAATTCCGCTACCACTCTTGATGACTTTGTTTATCTGTCAGTGATAGAACTACGCAGAAATGTAAAAAAATATGTAATGCTTCACATATTTTGTTACTGTGATGCATGTGTTCTTGAACGTTTGGTCGTTCGCTGTTCATTTAGAAATACAACTTCAAAAGTTAAAAAAATAAATGGTTCCTCAAGGGTTCTTTAGTAAAGACAGTGGTTTTATTTAGAACCATAAACATTCAAAGAACACTCTGCATGATTAAAGCATTTTTTACATGGTGAAAGGGTTCTTCAGGTTGATGGAGAATGTGCTGTAGATGGTTATATATATATAGCACCAAAAAGGGTTCTTCTATTGTTTTGATGTCAAGTTTGTTACAATAGAAGAACCCCTTTTCGGAAAGATTTTATATAGAACCATCTACAGAACATTCTCCATCAGTCTGAAGAACCCTTTCACAGTGCAAAAAAACCTTTAATCATGCATAGGGTTCTGTATCCAACTGTTTTCTTTACTAAAGAACCCTTGAAGAACCATAATTTTTAAGTGTGTATAAACCTGTTTCTTATCCAGTAGGGGGAGCCAGATTATTGTTAGAGCGGCCTTCTAACGAGAACCTCTTGCTTCACAGTAAACTGAATCCAGTGTTGGAGGTTTTACAGTGCTGTAGTCTTTAAATGGGAGTTGTAGCAGCTTGTTGTAGCTCTTTCTGAGTTTCATCCATGTTCTGCCTTCATAGTTCCCTGTTTTTGTAGTAGTGGTGATGTTATTTTAGCTCTGCTGTTACAGGAGGAATAGACTGGCTGTCACTGATAGCTTGACTTGTAGTGATGCTGTACAACGCTTCAGGCTTTCTTTGGTTCCCTGCTGCATTGCAATCTTCAGATTCAGCCCCCAGCTGGGATGTTAAGGAGTTTTCTACAGTCGTGGCAGTATTTATACCTGGCTGACGTCTCCTTCATCCACATCGATGAATAAAACATCAGATGAAAAGTTCTTTAATTCTGGTTGTATTTCACTCCCCAGGAGCCAAAATGTTATTGAGGTCTTTGCATAATGTGGAACGAATTCTTTCCTTCGCTAGGTTTTATTACTTGAGCTAACGCTCAACATAAGCTCTCAGAGAAACTTCCACAGGAGCTGCAGCTGAAAAGTCATGTTCTATTTAGCAGTTAAAGTGTTTTAACCAAACAAGACATCTTTCTGACTGTACTGCGAGCCTGCTGTCCGATCTCAGACTTCAGTGTCGAGTATGCTGTGAGCAGTCTCGATGATTCACACGACGCAGGTGTTTGCGGAGTGTGCTAAGCCTGTGCTTTGAAATAAACAACTTCTGTTGATTGATGTTTAGCATGTATATTTGAAGCAGAATTTGAAAGCACTGGTGTTAATAAGCTAATGCAATATAGCTGTAGCTGTGTATCTGCAGAGAGGTGATACAGAAGTAAAACGAAATGTCATCGTTAATTTTATTGTTATTTAGAGACAGCACCGACCCATTTCCAGGTATTTATGTCAGCCTGATAGCTCCAGAAAATGCTGGATTGGATATTAGAGCGGAAAAGGAATGAATCTGATCCAATCCTGCAAAAAAATCTATCCTGAGGTAGCACTCACTCACTGCTCACTCACTGCTCGTCTTGAAGAGGAAGTCTTATTTTTAATAAATTTTGTGTAATTAAATGATTAAGATGTAAACAGAGTCATTCAGAGTGGTTTGGTGTGAAATGCTCTGTTCTAGAGAAACTTATTGTTCGCAATGGTGGTGGTGGGAACCAGATGCCTCTAAAAGCTCCCTCACACAAAGGTTATTACATGAAATAGTTATGAATGTGCTGCCTGATGTGTGAGACACTGTTTTACATTAGTTTTGAGATAAATTGTTGGCCTAAAACATTTTTTGTATCGATTCATGGTAGAGAGCTACATGCATCTTTTTCAGATTTACTACTATTTTACCATCATCAGCAATACATATTAAAAATCAGAAGATGTGTAGGTTCACTGGTTGTTTTGTATAATAAATAAAATGGTGGTATTTGTGTTGTAGACACTGTGACCCCTGGTTCCTATCACCACCACTGTAAATAATGTTGGTTAGTTTCTCTGCTCCATCTCAGCCACTTAATTAGGCAGAAATTTTAAAAAGCTGATGGAGTTATCCTTGAGATACTTCAGTTACCGGGTGTTAACCTTCGTCTCGAGTGATGTGATCACAAGTGGAC